AGTGCTGAGGAGCAAGGATATCTCCTTGAGGACTAAGGTGCGCCTGACACAAGCCATGATATTTCCAATTGTCTCATATGCATGTGAGAGCTGCACAAAGAATAACAAAGACCAAAGAAGAGTTGATGCTTTTGAGTTGTGGTGCTGGCGAAGAATGCTGATCTGTCCTGGAGGAAGTGCAGCCAAAATGCTCCTTAGAAGCGAGAATGGCCAGACTTCGTCTCACCTACTTGGTCATGTTGTCAGAAGGGGCCATTCCCTGGGAAAGGATGTCATGCTTGGTAAGGTGAGGGTCGATGAAAGAGGGGAAGGCCTTCAACAAGATAGAGTGACACGGTGGCTGCGATGATGGGCTCAAGTATAGCAGGGATCATGGAGGTGGCGCGGGATTGGGCAGTGTTTCTTTCTGCTGTGCATGGGGTGGCTATGAGTCGGAAATGACTCGACAGCACCTAATAACAACAATAATAAACAAATGAAAAATCCTCACAACTGGACCTATAAGCAGCATAAATAGAGAAAAGATTGAGGTTGTCAAAGACTTCACATTGCCTGGTTCTACAATCAATGCCAATGGAAGCAGTAGTCAGGACATCAGATGACGTATAGCACTGGGCAAGTTGGCTGCAAAAGACCTCTTTCAAGTGCTGAAGAGCAAAGATGTTTCCTTGAGGACTAGAGTGCACCTGATACAAGCCATGATATTTTCAATCACCTCATATGCATGTGAGAGACCTGGACAATGAATAAGGGAGACCAAAGAAGAGTTGATGCTTTTGAGTTGTGGTGCTGGTGAAGAATGCTGAGAGTACCATGGACTTCTAAAAGAGCTAACAAATCTGTCCTGAAGAAAGTGCAGCTGGAATGCTCCTTGGAAATGAGACTGGCCAGACTTTGTCTCACTTATTTTGGTCATATTTTCAAAGGGGACCATTCCCTGGAGAAGGATGTCATGCTTGGTAAGGTGGAAGGTCGACAAAAGAGGGGAAGGCCCTCAACGAGATGGATCGACACAGTGGCTGTGGCGATGGGTTCAAGTATAGCAGACATCACAGAGCTGGTGCAGCACTGGGCAGTGTTTTGTTCTGCTGTGCACAGGGTCTCTATGAGTCTAAGACGACTCGATGGCACCGAACAACAGTAACAACACTAAATGATAATCGGTAATGTTAGTAGAGTAGATGATTGTGTTTGGGGAAAAACTGTACTCCCACTGAGTGTGTTCAAGGTACCTACCTACTGGATTCCAGAAAGGATCTTCTGAAAAGAGATGATGTGCCCTAAAAGCCTTTTTACCAAATTCAAGACACTCAGCACAAGTAGCCTGGAGCTACATTATGAGATGAAAAAGCAAAGAGGGAAGCTATATGAGCAATTTTTGCTTGTGTTAGGAGCTACAGTCAGAAAGGCCAATCAGGGTAATCTCCAAGAAAAAGTGTCCATGAAAGAAAAAGACAGCTACAAACATCCACAAATGACAGAGAAAACCAATCCAAAATGATATCAGTGCCATTAAAGTAGGACTTTTTTATTCCTGCTCTCACTTGCAATAATGCCAAAGGCAGCTTACCTACTGTGTCAAGTTGATTCTGACTCATAGTAACCATATGGGAAGGACAGAGTAGAACTGCCCCATAGGGTTTCCAAGGCTATAAATCTTTACAGAAGCAGTCTCTCCCATGAAGCAGTTGGTGGGGTTGAACCACAGACTTCTTTAGTCAGCAGCTGGGTGCTTTAACCATTATGCAACCATGGCTCCTTAGAAGTAGTTTCAAACAAAAAACAAACTCACTGCCATTGAGTTGATTCCAACTCATAGCAACTCCCAATGGATTTCCAAGGCTGTAAATCTTTACGGAAGTAGATCATCCAGTCTTCTTTCTGCAGAGTAGCTGGTGGGTTTGAACCTCCAACCTTCTGGTTAGCAGTCAAATGCCTTAGGCACTAGGCCACCAGAAGTCCCAGAAGTAGCTTAAACAGAACCAAAACAAACCCACTGCCATCGAGTCAAATCTGACTCACAGCAACCCCCACTGGGTTTCCAAGGTGGAAAATCTTTACAGAAGTAGATTCCTCAGTCTCGCTTCAGCAGAGCAGCTGGTGGGTTTGAATACCAACCTTCTGGTTAGCAGATACCTTAGGTCTGGTGCTAATAGAGTTCCTTAGAGGTAACTTAGGGAGTAGGAAAAAAAGGTAAAAGGCCTAGGTGGGGAAATACAGGTGACCATTCTCCCATCCTCCAGTTGCCCCACTGCAGGCTTACTGCAAGGACCAAGATGAAAGAAAGAATATGCTGTAATTTTAAATGCAGTTCCATCTACTGAGTATTACATGGAATTAGGTATTTTAATTATGATATGAGACTCTTCTTGGAACAAAAAGTAACAGAGTTTTTTGTTATTCAATGATAATTAAAGAAACTAAAGAATACAACCAAGATTTTATATGGGGAAGCAAGGCTAATTGTACCTAGAGCTTCTCTTGTTCAACATCACTGACTCACACAGATACACAGGTCACGTCCATTCCTACTCCAAAACACAAAACTATAGATACATAACCCCAAAACCCACCATCACAAAGACAGTATGTTAGGCTCACTCTTTAACACCAACATCACAAAAGCATTCCATTGTACTTAAACCACTATTTCATATTACAGTCATGCATCACTTAATGTCCACGATAAGTTCTATGAAATAGGACATTATGTGATTTGGATATTGTGTGAATACTGTATTATGTACAGGCAGTCCCCAGATTATGAATGAGTTCTATTCCTAAGTCTTTTTTTAAGTTGAATTTGTACATAATCAGAGCAGTTACGTATGGTTCCTATCTAATGTAAGTCAAAAGTTTGTCTCACCCACTGTCATCGAGATGATTCTGACTCACAGTGACCCTACAGAACAGAGCAAAACTGCCCCATATGGTTTCCAAGGCTGTAAATCTTTACAGAACCAGACTGCCTTATCTTTCTCCTGTGAAGTGGCTGGTGGGTTCAAACTGCTGACGTTCTGGTTAGCAGCCCAATGTTTTAACCACAGCACCATCAGAGTGTCTTTAATGTTTGTCTTAGTATATAGTATATAATGCACCTTTCTATACATAAAAAAATTAAAGAAACATTTCCAGATGCAAATAGAGTTAGAATAATAATAATGCTTTAAATGCATGTCACAAAGTAGCACCTATTTGTTACTAAGAACCAAAGTGCATACCTCAATTTTTTATATAATACAGGTTTTACCAGGGTTGGAACCATGGTATATGTAGTTACATGTTGCCCTAATGGATGTTATGTGGCATGTGGCACGTGACTATACTTCTAAACTAAGAAATTTAAAAGAAAAAAAGATTACCCATAGGAGAGATTCCATAGGTTGAGGATTAAGCAATCCTATGATTCCATGGTACCATGACAGTCCTGCACCCATCATGAAAATACCAACACCACTAATTAGTGAAGCAATATAGCGCATATTTGAAAATCCATATCTGAAAAATAAAGAAGATAAAATAGTTCACAAGAAAGAGAAATGGATTCTTTTTAAAATTTATCTTAATACATCAATTAAAAAAAATTTCAAACATCTAGATGTTATAGTTTCATGTCTAATTACTGTAAGTCTCAAACTCAAATACAATTAGGAAAATAGTACAGAAAGTGGAAAAAGTGACAAGATCTTTGAAATTCTATAAAAACAAAGTGACTATCATTCAATTCAGCTATTTTCTAATCTCTTTCCAGTTTATTTGGAACTAGTAGTGCTACTTTCTTATTATGTACCACAGATGCTGACGAAATTAATTTCATCTGTTTTTAAAATGCACTTACGTATTTAATGAACAGGGTAACATTTAAATTTCCATGCAATGCAGATTCTAATTAATATTTTGGTCTCTATGTGCAGCCTATCTATGATTTATATTACCTATAATTTGATGCTAGACATTTATTGCTGATTATGAATAGTTCAGCACACAGCAACTATCAACTATTACTCGGGCGAAGAGCTTCCCTTTTCAGGTTGGTTTTTAATCACTGAGTTTGGTGGCGTAGTGCCTATGGCATTTGACTGCTAAACAGAAGGCTGAAGGTTCAAACCCACCAGCCACTCCTCGAAAGGAAGATCGGGCAGTCTACTTCCGTAAAGATACAGCCTTGTAAACCCAAGGAGGAGTCACTATGAGTCGGGACCAACTCGATGGCAGTGAGTTGGTTTTTTTTGTTGTTGTTGTGAAAAAAAAAAAGAAGTCAATTATTTCCCCAGCATGTTTGGCCAACATGTACATTGTTTTCTATTACTGTAAGCACCAATAAAATAATCATTATAGAAACTGAAAAATTTACCATTCATATAAAGTAAAAACCAAACCAAACCTAGTACCATCAAGTCAATTCTGACTGATAGTGACCCCCTGCAGTGTAGTAAATTACTTTGTGTGGCTTTTCTACCCGAAAGTCTTTGTAAACTCCAAGGTGGGATTTTCTATGAGCAAGTGAGGAGCTCCTGATTGCTGAAGGTGTCCACCTGGAATATTTCCGTTGGGAGAGGCACAAAACAATGTTCTGGGAGGTGCCCACTCTCTCTCAGGTGCTTAGAGTTCTGACGCTATAATTGGCTAGTTTGACCACCCTGTGGGCTCTAAAGGAGACCTCCTGGAGGCAGAACTCTCTCTGACTGCTGGTTGAGGGAGACGTGCTGCTGAAAGAGACACGGGCTCCTGAAACACGCGTTGCTGGGAAAGAGACACAAGAGACATGCATTGCTGAGTGAGACACCGAGGGACCAGCACTGCTGGGAAAGAGACTGTGAGAGACTCTTGGCTGAGGGACGGTGGGCTGGGAGAGAGACTGAGCGTTCTTCCTGAACTTGAGTTGTAGCCTGGTGCTTCCCTAATAAACCCTGTAATCTGTGAGTTCTGTGTGGTCACTGCAGCGAATTATCGAACCCAGGAGAGAGGTGGTGGGTGCTTTGGGAGGAACGGTTGGTGAAAGGGCTGGAGGGAGGCAACATGTCTGGCCTTGCAGTAATAGGCCTTGGGTTACTGCTGGTAATCCTGTCTTCCTCTTGTGAGATTAGAGGAGGTCAGAACATGTGGCCTCCTTGCCGTTTTTGCACCCCCATTGGGTTTCTAAGGCAGTAAATCTTTACAGAAGTAGATTGCCTCATTTTCCTCCTGCAGACCAGCTGATGGGTTTGAATCACCAACCTTCTAGTTAGCAGCCAAATGCCTTACCCACTACACCACAAGAGCTCCTTACATGAGGTAAAGAATCACTCATTAATTAATAAAAATATCTCCTGGAAACTTTACTTTCAAGCCCAAGCTCTATGGCACCCTTCCAGCAGTTGGATATTTAAACAAATCCTTCATTAAAACTGTTCTTTGAATTCTTTTTGCAGAGATGTAATCTTGTCATAGGGAAGTTAAAGTTCACAGATTGAAAGTGTTCTACAAGTTTCATTTAGAAATATTTACTTTCTTCTAAAAAAAAATTAAATATTTAGTTCTTCAGTCATACCAGCCACATTTCAAGTGCCTCACAGCATATACAGTGACCTGTATATGGGATAGCACACATACAGAGTATTTCCATCATCACAGAAAATTCTACTGGATAGCACCAGTGCAGACTATCGAACATATCTTGAGAAGAAATCTTCACAAACTAAAATTTAAAAAGTTAACCTTGTTTGTAAATTTTTGGCATATAAAATTGGTCAGGAAAAAAAATTACTTTTCTTGAGAAAGTAAAACGGAAATTAGTAATTAAGGTTCTAATAATTCGCTGGTTCTCTACAATAGCTTTCGGTAGTTACAGAAAATTCAAAATGCTATTATTTGTAAGGAAATATTACTGCTTTGTAGTCAAGTAAAGAAAGGCATATTTAAAGCATAGAGATAGACTAAATTACAGAAATAAAATTACTTTTTTTAACTTAAGATTGATCAAATTTAGTTGGCTATGCTTAAAGAAGCAACAGAGAAAATCTTTGTCTTAAATAACTAATACAACTCAAAACAATATATTCTAAAAAGTATAAAAATTTAGAAATAGATAATTTTGAAGTATCAACACAATACTATTTCCAAATCACAACAGAAGGATTAAAATAAATATGGATTTACCACATATTATCACCCAAATTTTAGTTTTGGTAGCCTATTAGTCTAAATCTGGAATATGTTTCCTTTGATGAAAGAAAAACACAACTCTAAGATCAAAATATGTAATCTGTTATTATCAAATATGAAAATGACAAAATCTCCATGCTGTGTTACAAAGCATAAAAATTTTAAACTTCATTTTCAAATTATACACCTTGAATTTACTTTGACACAGCGGTGAGTCCTACATTTTACACACTACAGAAGTAATGACCAAATCTTTAACACAAAACTGCAGGTATATAAATTGCAGGAAATTTCACAAATTCAGCTGCTTTTTATTTCAATGACTTGCTGCCAAAACAAATAAAAACAAAATAAAGGCAATGTTCTTACGGATGAGTAGGATCTGGTGTTTGAACAGACTTACTGATGCCCAATGCTAGTAAAACCTATGGAGAAGAGGGGGGAGAAAAAAAAGTGGTAATCATTAGCAAGATAAGGAGTATAAGTAACATGGTAAAGTCAATCTTCAGCGTACAATTTGACAATGTCAAAGAAACACTTAGCATAGACAAATCTCATGGCCTAGCAATTCTGCTTCTTAGTACTTACCTTAGAGAAATAAAGAAGAACTGACAAGGGTTTAAAGCACCATTGTTTATAATGATGAAAAACTTGGAAGCAACCTAAATATCCATTAATGAGGAATAGTAAAATAAATGATGGTATAGCCAAACTATGAATTGCTTCTACGGCAGTTTAAAAGAACAGGGTTGGGGCAGATATTTGTTTGCTGACATGGGAAATGTTCCTAACATACTAGTAATAAAAAGAAAGAGAAAAAAATTAAACAGTAATTTCTGTTTAGAAAAAATTCTACATAATTCTGTAGTTTTTAGAAATACACTGTTAAACAGAGGAAAAGATCTGGAAGAAGACATATTTAACTATGGTTACACTTCTGAGAAGGAAAGTAGTATTAGGATGGTCGGTAATGTCTGATTTTTTACAGAAAGAAAAACTTGATAGCTACATAAATCAAAGATAGTACACATTTAAAGATATACACAACAGTATATAATGCATATGAGTATATACTTTTGTAATTAAGACTTTAAAACCCATGCAAAGATGCACAGGGAGACAGCTCAGGGGGTAAGAGTGCATGGAGGGAAGGAAATAAGAAAGAGGTAACTATGGGGAGGGGAGCTGTTGCACTGTGGTAAACTGTAGCCAATGCCATGAGACAAAGTGTATGTGAGCTGCTGTATGGAAAGTGAATTTGCGCTGAAAACTTTCACCCAAATCACCATTTAAATAATTTAAAAAAAAAACATGCAAAGGATGTATATAATACATCAAAGTATGAAGGACAGATGTTGAAAGGGGGTAAACTAATCTAGGGTATGAAAAGGAAGAGACAAGTAGAATTAGTTGTAACTAAAATTTTATCTTATTTTAAAACAACAAAATAACTATGGCAAACTGTTAATGTCTTTAATCTTGGGTACGAACTTCCTTTCTTTCGCTCCTTCCCGCTTTTCCTTTCTTGCTTTCTTTCAAGCTTTCCTGCTTTTCTTTTATTTCTCCCTGTCTATTTAATTGATTTTTCTTCCTTATCCTTTATTAAAGAGTTATCTGTTGGAAACTTTCAATATTAGCATGTCTATTCCTAGAAGTCCTCACCATTCTACTTTGAAGTGAATGTAGAAATCTGAAAAACATTACGTCATGAAGATCATACAGCCTTGGAAACCTTATGTTCTGTCATTTTCTATAGGGTCTCTGTGAGTCGGAATCGACTCTACGGCAACAGATCTACTAAGGCACACCCATTCCATTGGCCTGGGTGATCCATGAGAACTCTACCCCAGCTGGTTAGAACTCAAATGTCTCCTGGCTTTGTTTGAGTCCTAGGAATTTCTCAGCTTTCTGCTCCCTAGTCATTCTTCGTCCAGACCAACGGAGCTTTACCCTATGTAGGTGTACCTTAACATTCCCCAAACACTAAAGTCAAGGAAATCCCCAGGCAGACTTCTAAAGTTCTCTATGTACCTCTCTCCTCTGTGGAACTCTACCTTGTAAGTTCTAGCCACCTCGGGCCCCTTGAACTCTGGTCTCTGCCTTCTCAACTCAATGAGATTGTTACATTCTTTCTAGATCTCCCACCAAGCTCCATTGTCCCTAATGTGCCTCCAAGCAAAGAGCCAGGATAATCATAGAGCTCAACTCATTTGTTTCCCTTCTCTCAGGGATCATGGTCTTGCCTGCTGCTGTCAAATGTCTGAAAACAGCTGTTTCATGTATATGCTAGTTTTTTAATTGTTTATGGCAAAAGGCTAAGCTCAGTCCCCATTAGTCAGCATGTCTAGAAGGCGAAGTAAGCTCTACACATAGAATTATGCAACTTGCTTTTTCACTCAATTTATCATGATTATTAATTCAGGTCAGTACATACATGTCTGACATATTGTTTATAAACATTTCAGGGTGGCTGTTGTTATGTGGTGTCGAGTAGTATTTCAGGGTGGCTGTTGTTATGTGGTGTCAAGTTGGACCCGACTCATAACGACCATCCCTTGGGCTTCCAAGGCGGTATCACTACAGAAAGTAGAGTGCCCAACCTTCCTTCTGAGGAGTGGCTAGTGGTTTGATCCGCCAGCTTTCTGGCAGATACAAAGCATGATCTTAGGCACTATGCTACCAGAGCTCCTATACCAGGGTAGCAAGTATAATAATTTATTTAATCATTCATGAACCCTTAAACCATCTTCAGTGTTCTAATAACAACTAATAAGGCAACAAGGAGCTCTGGTGCACCAGTGGTTAAGGCATTTGGCTGCTAACCAAAATTGGCAGTTCAAATCTACCAGCCACTCCACAGAAGAAAGATAAGGCTGTGTGTTTCCATAAAGATTTACAGCCTTGGAAACCTAATGGGGCAGTTCTTTCTACTCAGTCCTATAGGTTGTTGTGAGTCAGAATCGACTCGATAGCAGTGGGTTTAATATGGAGACTAGTAATCTGGTATATAGCTCTTTGCTTATATGTACAAATATTTCTGCATTTCAATTTTCCAATGTTCGGTTAAGCTTTCAACAAAATAAAGATCATGTTTTGTATCTCTCTCTACCCCTCTTTTACACACACTACTACTGACTGATAAAACATTACAAAGACAGAGCCATGGTGGTGCAGTGGTGAAGCACTTGGCTGCTAACTAAAAGGTCGATGGTTCAAATTCACCACCCACTCCTAGGGAGAAAGATGTGATAGTCTACTTCCATAAAGATTTACTGCCTTGTAAACCTTCAGAGGCAGTTCTACTCTGTCCTATCTGGTCAGAATGAGTTGGAATCAGCTTATGGCAACAGGCTTCGTTTCAGTAGGTGTTAAGTATTGGCTGAAATTCAAGTTAGTACTAATGCTAAATGCTTGTCTTCCTTCCTTAATTCAACAAAGGGTTTTCACTCGAGAGTGAGTTAGACTAGTTCTCAGTTTTAATTTTTAGTTAGGAGTGCTCTCCCCACACTTTATTGTTTATTATTTTTAAACTTGTTTTACATATTCTTATTGTGCCTGTGTCTTTTATTATAAGTTATCCCAAAATCTGTCCTTCCAATAACAGGGCTATACATAAACTAATACTGAGAAGATTTTGTCTTACTACACCACACTCTTTAATATGTGAAATTATATATAAGCAAAAATTTTCATTTTATTATTAAAGGCTCACGTCTGTAGATTGACAATTTATGGCAAAGGAGTTTTTAAAATGTTATTTTCATCTTCTTCATTTGCAAACTGAAAGAAAATAACCCACACTATAGTCTAACATGAAAAAGCATTTTAAGCATCAGTCATATATGACTATTTTGTATTTTATTCAAATAACTTAAATTCATTGGCCAAATCCCTACCTAATGTAAGAATGCCTTCTACAAAAACCTCTGTGCAAATAGTGATGGATAATCCCATACTTCATGTTCCATTGTTGAAGTTCTTAAAGCATAACTGCAAAAACTCATTGCCATCGAGTCAATATTGACTCACAGTGAGCCTATAGGACAGAGTAAGACTTCTCATAGAGTTTCTAAGGCTGTGTATCTTTATAGAAGATACTGTCTCATCTTTCTCCCACAGAATGGATGGTTGGTTCAAACCACCAATCTCTTGGTTAGCAGCTGAATGCTTTTAAAAACAGTGCCACTAGAGCTCCTTAAAGCATACTTATAAAACTCCTTTAAAATACAATGATCATGTTTCTATATATGTCATTGCCCAGAAAAAAATAAATTTTCATTTTCTTCCATAAATCAATTATAGGAATCATTCAGTTTTTAAACAGATAAACTTTTAGACTAAAGCCAAATAATAATAATAATTAATTTAAAATTATTAAGAAGAAGCCTTTACAAGCTCTTACCTGATTACATGTATCAGATAATGAATGTATAGCTTCTGAGAACATACTCGCTGAACCAGTATAAACCCAGGCAAGAAATTTAAAGAAACAGTTTAATCCATTGCTAAGAGAGAAAGGAAAAAACAATTCAGCATTGATTTTGATAAAATTTCCACCAAAATTTATTTAATTGGTTATATATATATACCTTTACACTAGATTTTGTGCAGAGTACATTAAAAAGAATCCCTAGCCTTAGAGAACTTATTACTACATAGATAACAAGAGTACAAATGTGAAAAACACAGATTATATAATCATTGAGTACTTAAATGAAGAAGCATTCTATGACTAAGCAAATTACTTATTTGCACTTTGAGATATCATGAGAAAAGTGGGTGCTATGTGCTTAGAGACGACAAAAGAAGAAAGTTAGTTCTGTGTCTTAGGTAGGGAGAGAGGGTCTGCACTCTGTCTAGGAGGCCAGTATCAATGGCAAGACTTTGGTGAGGACCTTCACTTCAGTAAGCAGATGCAAGAAGGAAGGACCAAACTAGACCAAGCCACCTCAGGGTCACAGGAGAAGACCAGAAATGCTACAATAAAGACAGTCACTCTGAGGAAGCTGGTTGCTCAAGATTCCAACAATAACAACTACTGTGATTGACTAAGGTGCTATACTAGTCACTTACCAAAATGTAATACTTAATTTTCACAGAAGTATATTATAAAATATTAATATCTCCATTTTATAAATGAGAAAATTGTATATATCCCTTTCCAGCTACCCTCTGCTCTTCACTTCCCCTTCAGATAATTTCTTGAAAGAATTCTGTCTATTCTTGCAGTCTCTATTTTCCTCACTTTGCACCAAGTCTTCAAGCCACTAAACAATGGCTTCTGTTTCTACCCCTTATTAGATTGCTCTTATTAAGATCATCAACAATGGGACTGTAAAATGGAATAATCACTGTAAAATATATTATGGCACTCTCTTAAAAATTAGAAACAGAAATGCCGTATGACCCAGCAAATCACACTATTAGGTATAAATCCTAGAGAAATAAGAGCTGTGACACAGATACATGCACACCCATGTTCATTACAGAATTATTCACAATAGCAAAAAGATGGAAACAACCTAAGTGGTCATCAGTGGATGAATGGATAAATAAACCATGGTACATACACACATTGCAATACTATGCAAAGTCAAAGAATAATGGTGACTCTCCAAAACACCTCATAACACGGATGAACCTAAAGGACATTACGCAGAGTGATGTTACTCAATAAAAAATGGACAAATACTGTATGAGACCACTACTATAAAAAGTCAAGCAAAGGTTTACACACAGAAGAAACATTATATGAAGATTAGTGGGGGTGGGAGGAAATGGAGGGTAAAGCACTAACTAGAGGATGGACATGTGTTAACTTGGGTGAAGGAAAAGGCAACACACAACAAGGGGAGGTCAGCACGAAATGATCAAGGCAAAGGAAGACACTGGAAGGAGCACAAGAGTTAAAGGCAACAATGATAAATACTATTACATACAAAATCGTAACAGTAATTAAATGACCATCTACTAGACACGCAAACTGACTAAGTATAGGAAGGCAAATGGGACCACAGCCACGGATATATGTAACTTTGACAGAGGATATTTCTATGTATATATTTATATACACTATGAATAAAGCATGTATCTTTGAATCCGGAAGACCATACAGAGGGCAAAGTTATAAAAACTACTTAGCCATAACCAAACATCTTGAGGGAGTAAGTCACTGGGCCTCAGGGGCTCAGGACCATAGTCTCAGGTACATCAAAGTCAATTGGCATAATATAGGATTGGAAGAAGCCTCATTAACAATCTACAATATGCAGATGACACAGCTTCCCTTGTTGAAAGTGCAGAAGAATTGAAGCACTTACTGATGAGGATCAAAGACTGCAGTCTTCAGTACAGATGACACCTCAACATAAAACAAAAATCCTCACAACCAGACCAATAAGCAACATCATGATAAACGGAGAAAAGACTGAAGTTGTGTTGTCAAGGATTTCAATTCACTTGGATCTACAATCAATGCCCTTAGAAGCAGCAGTCAAGAAATCAAACAACATATTATACTGGACAAATCTGTTGTAAAAGACCTCTTTAAACTGTTAAAGAACAAAGATGTCACTTTGAAGGCTAAGGGGCACCTGGCCCAAGTCACGATATTTTCAGTAGCCTCACATGCATGTGAGAGCTAGACAATGAATAAGGAAAACCACAAAGAATTGATCCAATTGAATTTTAGTGTTCATGAAGAATACTGAAAGTACCATGGATTGCTAGGAGAATGAACAAACCCGTCTTGAAAGAAGTACAGCCAGAATGCTCCTTAGAGTGAGAATGGCCAGACTTAGCCTCTTGTACTTTGGTCATGTTGTCAGAAGGGACCAATCTTAGAGAAGGATATCACACTTGGTAAAGCTGAGAGTCCGTGAAAAAGAGGAAGAAGGCCCTCAATGAGATGGACTAACAGTGGCAACAGTGATGAGTTCAAGTACAGCAATTATTATGAACGCAGGACCAGGCAGTGTTTCATTCTGCTGTGCAGCACAGGGTCAAAGTAAGTTGGAACTGATTCAATGGCATCTAACAATAATAAAAACCTACAAATATCTCAGACTCAAAAATGAATTCATCACTTCCTCTGCTTCCAGTCTGCCCCTCCTTTCAGTGTTCCTTCTCTCAGTGAAAGGTATCTATCACACTGCATAAGCTAGAAACTTAAAAGACGTTGATGCTACCTCCTAAGCAATTCTTTCATCTGCCCACACCTCTTGGTCACTAAAATCACTATCCTAGTCCAGCGTATCATCATTCCTTATCTATATTATTGTAAATGCCTTCCTGTAGTGTAGTGTCCCTTTAGTCCACTCTCCACTGTGACTCAACTGGCCTCTAAATACATTGTATCAATAAATAAATAAATAAATGCACTGTATCATGCCATATCCTAATACTTCTGCTTTACAATCTTTTCATTATAGCCAAGCCATTCCAATCATTATGCCTTTTCTCAGGCTACTTCCACAGTCAGGAATGGTGTTCCACTGGATCCCTGACCCCTCCCACTGGACTAACACATTCTAAATCATTAAAGAGTCATCAAATGTTTTCTCTTTATTATCCTGGAATTTACCAATACTCTTTTAATGCACTTCAGTCTTAAGCCTACACTGCTTTATTCATGATCTTGGAAACAGGAATTATGCATAATATCTTTGTATTTCAAGACTTTATCACGGTATGTGATTGAGACATATGTGTGTGTGTGTGTGTGTGTGTATGACAAAACAACAAATTAATGTATATATACATCCTAAAATAAAGATTAAACAAAACAATATACATCAAAAAGATAAAAGAAAAAAGAGAAGGGAAGAAAACCTCAAATATATTCTTCATAACTATGGATGGGAACAGGTTTTGCTATATATATATATATATATATATATATGGGAGCTCTGGTAGCATAGTGCCTAAGGCACTTGATTGCTAACCAGAAGGCTGGCAGTTCAAACCCATCAGCCACTCCTCAGAAGAAAGAAGGGACAACCTAGTTCCATACTAGTTCTGTAGTGATACTGCCTCGAAAACCCAAGGAGGGGTCACTATGAGTCGGGTCTGACTCGATGGCACATAACAACAACAACAACAAAAATATATATATATGTATATGTATATATAGACAAACGCACACACACACACACTTTTTTTAAAAAAAGACTTCTATCAATGCCAATGAAAATGATAAAGGATTTTCAGGTAGAAATTATTCTTAGATCTTAACCACATTAAAAACACACATGGCATAAACTTGGGTATATATGCATAGTCTACTCCTACAACTTTACTGGCAACAAAGACTTAACTCATCTTCCTCCTAAAACAACATAAACCTCTAGCTCTTTATCTAGCTACCAAATAATACATTTATACATTCAAGGATCATACATTAACAATAATACATTTCTTATTTTTTTCAGGACTTACATGCAAATGGCAACCATCACCACTTTTCCTGGTCCCTTGAGAAATACCGATGTCATTCTGGAACGTGGCTGTAAAAAAAAAAATAAAGAAAAAAACCTCAAAAACTTGTCAGTGAAGCAAACACATCAGACTCTAACACACTAGAAAACTGACAATTATTGACGCTGAGTGATGGTATATCAATAATTTATTTTTTCTATTTTTGTGTATTTTGAAAATTATTCCTGATCAACAAGTTTCATTAATACTGACATGAATGTGGAAAACTTAGATAGATTTCAGTAAGGGCTCCCAGGAAAATCAGTATAAAATACTCAAAGCAACGTAAGGTGCATTTCAAAGTGATACTTTCTTTCTGGCAAAAAACACCAGAAAGATGTTTATCTGTATTTTACTGACCATGCAAAGGCATCTGACTGTGTAAAATAACTCACTGCTGTCAAATAAATCCTGACTCACAGTGACCCCTCCTTGGGTTTCCAAGGCGGTATCTCTACGGAAGTAGATTGCCCAGTCTTCCTTCCAATTTGACTGTGTGGATCCTAACATATTATGGATAATACTGCAAGGAATGGAAATTCCAGAAAATTTAATTGTGCTCAAGAGGACTTGTGCATAGACCAGGGGACAGTATAGAATAAGGGAATACTGCGTGGTTTAAAAATCAATAAAGACGTATGTCAGGTTGGTACCCTTTAACCAGTTATTCGATCTGTATGCTGAGCAAGAAATCCTAGAAGGTAGACTATATGTAGAAGAACTCGGCATCAGGACTGGAGGATGACTCATTAACAACCTGCAATAAGCAGATGACACAACCCTGCTTGCTGAAAGTGAAGAAGACTTGAAGCACCTAGTAATGAAGATCAAAGACTACAGCCTTCAGTATGGATTACCCACCATAAAGAAAACAAAAATCCTCAATGGAGGGATGGACACAGGGAAGAGGTAACTATCGGGAGGAAGTGGGAGGGGAGATGTTACATTGTGCTAAATTGTGGTCAACGTCATGAGACAAAGTGTATGTGAACTGCTGAATGGAAAGTGTATTTGCTCTGTAAATTTTCACCCAAATCACAATAAAAAGAAAAAAAAAAATCCTTAGAACTGGACCAATAAGTGATATCATGATAAACAGAGAAAAGACTGAAGTTGTCAGGGATTTCCTTTTACTTGGAACCACAAACACTGCCCATGGGAGCAGCGGTCATGAAATCAGACAGTGCAATGCACTGGGCAAATCTGCTGCAAAAGACCTCTTTAAAGTGTTCAAGAGCAAAAATGTCACTTTGAAGACTAAGGTGTGCCTGACCCAAGCCATGGTATTTTCTATAGCTTCATATGCATGTGAAAGATGGACAAAGAATAAGGAAGCTCAAAAAAGAATTGATGCATTTGAATTGTGGTTTTGGCAAAGAATATACCATGGACTACCAAAAGAAGGAACAGATTTGCCTTGGAAGAAAAGAAGTACAGCCAGAACACTCCTTAAAATGGGGAATGGCCAAAGACTTCTTCTCACACACTTTTGTCATATTATCAGAAGGGACCATTCCCTGGAGAAGGGTATCATGCTTGGTAACGTAGAGGGTCAGCAAAAAAGGGAAAGACCCTCAATGAGATGGATTGACACAGAGGCTGCAATAATGGGCTCAAGCATGCCAATGATGGTGAGAATGGTGCAGGACTGGGCATTGTTTTGTTCCGCCATACGTGGGGTTGCCATGCGTTGGAATCAACTTGACAGCACCTACCCACAACAACTGTTACTGCAGGTGGAGGCAAAGGTACTTCCAGTGGTCTGAATTCTAAGAAATTCATGGAATTACGATTCTAAAGGAAGGCATAAGAAAGTAGAAATGTGTTAAAATGAAGCCAGACAATGAGGCAGAACAATGAAAAATTAGGTGCTCTAAGGAGACCACACTACAGATGCAGAACATAACTTCATATATCTTACTACTGGAACTCCCATAAGACAAAGAAGAATAACACAGAAAAAGAAGAGTCTGGGTCACAAAGCAAAAAATAAGTAAAAATAAACATGGTGTTTAATTCTAGCAAACAGGACTATCTTTATAGGTGTTAGAGAAAGAAAGCAACCATATCCAGTGGGAGAGCAAGTATTTCTAAAAATAACAGGGAAATAAAATACTAAAGGTTTATCCTACTACTACCACACACACACACACACACACACACAGTGTATAATAGAAAGAAATTCTATTCAAGGACTAGAATACTGAAAAGCTAAGGAGTATTAAGTTAACAAAAGGACTCTAGTGGCACAGATTTCAGAATTCAGCAGTTATAGTTCAGGCATCTAATGTGGATGATTCTCCATGTGAAAGAGATGTTAGGAATAGGAAAAAAAATCTTCCCAGGAAGCAGGTCTCACTTGCCTACATCATTCCACAGCAAGAGGGAGTGGCACCAGCCACTGTAGCACAGGAATTCAAATGCAGGCTCAAAAACTATGGAGGCTCTACCACTAAAGAAAGTCCACACCATCACTGCAGCCTTGGAGTAAGAAGGCTCAAAAGGGCGAAGAAAATTAAGAGGGTCTGAATATAATGGATAGAGAAGAAAAGCACATCAAATAAGATGCATAGGAAATACAGCTGGACTGTTCCTTAGAAGCAAGGATGGCAAGTCTTTGTCTTTCATACTTTGACGTATATCAGAAGGTGCCATTCCCTGGAGAAGGACATCACGTTTGGCAAAGTAGAGAGTCAGCAAGAAAGAGGAAGACCCTCAATGAGATGGACTGACACAGTGGCTACAATAATAGGCTCAAGCATAGCAAGGATTGAGATGATGTCACATGACCGTGTTTCGTTCTGTTGTTTCATGAGGTCAGTATGAGTCAAAACCAGTCAACGGCACCTAATAACACAACAACAACAGTTGTCACAACTGCCAATTTTTAAATCTCATGACAAGACAGCAATGTCTTAAACTCCACTCAGAGATAAGACAGTTTGCATAGGAGGCCTTTTCCCCAGAAACAGTATTAACTTCTTGATGGGAGATCCCTCCCAGCTAAAAGTAAATTCGAAGTCAACTCTGGACAGACTGCCTGGCATCTTGGAGGTGTTGATGATTTTGGTAGGAACCATTTCAGATGGGGAAGGGGGATGACAGGCTGACTGGAGTGAATTCAAAAGAGAAAAAAGAGGTGAGACACAGAAGAAAATAATATAGACAACTTTTTTTTATTTTAAATGCTGCTAAAAAAGGAAGCAGAAATGTAGCAGTAGTTGGAGGGACTACAGAGTAGAGGGTTTTTAAAATACCCAAAAAACTCACTGTCATCAAGTCAATTCCGACTCATAGGACCCCCTTTGGGTTTCTGAGGTGGTAAATCTTTAAGGAAGTAGATTGCCCAGTCTTCTTTCCACAGAGTGGCTGGTAGGTTTGAACTACCAACCTTCTGGTTAGCAGGCAAATGCCTTAGGCGCTACGCCACCAGAGCTCCTTGGTTCTTAAAATGGGTTAAAGTATAATTGTATGTACAACGAGGGAGAACTAGATGATGCATGAGAAAAGGGGGATGACTAAAGAAACAAAGGACTGGTATACATGAGAGGGGATGGGAATGAGAGTAGAGGAAGGGTTGGCTATATAAATCTGAACAGGACTATATTTCAACTATAGTAGAAATGAAAGCAGAGTTTTTGGCACAGATGTAGTAGATAAATTTGTGAGCTTAGTGATGAAAAAATAAGGTACTTTTATCAGACTACATTTATTTATTTATTTATTTATTTTTCCCAATAAATAATGAAGCATAGTCATCAGTTGAAGCGAAAAGAATGAAGCTATAGAAAGTTTGGGAGGAGAAGAAAAGGTTTACAAAAGTTATCGTACAGAATGGAAGAGTAAATGTACAATGGAAGTCTACCAAGACTATCAGGTAATACTGAATGTCTATTCATTTTGTATAGTCATATAATAAAGAGAGGTCAATTAAAATGGCTGTGTAATTTTCCTCTCCAATGGCTGAATTCCAGGGTACAGGCAGACAGTTGGCAGTTTGAAGGTTTGACCAGGGTAAGAGTAGGAGAGAGGACAAATAAAATTAAGGGTATACATGAGAGAGCTAAATCTTTCTAATTATAAGAAAATAAAAGCTTCTCCTACATCTTTAGCTATATGCTTATGGTTCATGACACAGGAGTTTAAGAACTCACAGCCCAAGTTTTTAAATTTCAAGAAAATGAGACACAGGCAACTAGATTGTAACTCAGGAAATTATAATGTGTTCAAGAAACTACTGCATTACGACCACAGACATGCTAGAAAACTAATACCAGGAGTTTGTAGTATACATACACACAGACACTATTAGAAAGACATTCTTACCTTGGTGTTTCCCAGGAAGTCTTTATATTCTCTTAATATTTTTTGGTTTCTAAATAGCCCTATAAAAAAAGAATTATAAAACAAGTTGCCTTCATACATATTCTTATCAGTCACATTTTTTTATTAATATAATCATTCTCTTTAAGACTATGTTAAATATGCTCTATTAGCTACATTATTACAAGAATTCTTGACATGCAACAACGTAAAGGGAGCTTGATAGAACTTTCTTCTCAGTATTAAATAAGATATTTGAGTTATATAATCTCTCATGTTTTAGATCAAAGTTTAAAAAAAGAAAAATGTGCTTTTTCAAATTTTTGTATTTTAAGTATTTTCTCTACATACAAGACTAGTAGTCATAGTATCATTATTTTAATACCAAAAAATTGAAACTCTATGAGATAACCAAATAAACTATGGTGTATGAATTTAGAGATACCTTCAAGAACAAATATGAAGCAAAAATGACCAAAAACCAGACAAGTTGTGTAATGACACCAAGCCATTCCACATGAAGATAGCAAAAAGTCATTAAAAAGACAGGAAGGAAGAAAAGACCAAAACAGAGATCAGAAGAGCCTATGAAACTTACTTAAGCAAACAGAAAACAATGAAATAAAAGGGTTGAACAAAAGATTTCAAAGGATGACTTCAGAAGAAAAGCAAAGTGTTATAAAAAGTAAAGTAGTATTATAAAAATAAAGTATTATAATGAAATGTGCAGAGATTCGGAGTTAGAAAACCAAAAGGGAAGAACACATTTGGATTTTCTCAAGCTGAAAGAACTAAAGAAAAAAAGTCAAGTCTCAAGTTGTTAATATTGAAGAATTCTATGGGGAAAACATTTAATGATACAGGAAGCATTCAAAGAAGATAGAAAGAATACAGTCACTGTTCCAAAAAGAATTTGCTGACATTCAGCCACTTCAGGAGGCAACATATGATCAAAAACCGATGGTACTGAAGGAAGAAGAAGTTCAAGCTGCACTGAAGGCACTGGCAATAAACAAGGCTCCAGGAATTCACAGAATATCAATTGAGATGTTTCAACAATCAGATGCAATGCTGGAAGCGCTCACTCATCTATGCCAGGAAATTTGGTAGGCAGTTACCCAGCCAAGCAACTGGAAGAGATCTCTATTTGTGCTCATTCCAAAGAAAAGTGTCTTGGTTATCTACGGCTGCTACAACAGAAATACCAGGAGTGGATGGCTTTAACAAACAGAAACTTATTCTTTCACAGTTTCCAAAAACAAACTCAATGCCGTCGAGTCAGATCTGATTCCTAGCGACCCCTTCCTGGGTTTCCAAGGTGGTATCACTACGGAAGTCAATTGCCCAAGCTTCCTTCTGAGGAGAAGCTGGTGAGTTTGAACCACCAGCCTTCTAGAATTCCTAACTAAGGAGACCAGCTCTAGGGGAGGGCCTTCCCTCCTTTCAACAACTGTTTGCCCAATGTTCTTTGGAGATCTCCATGTGTCTTGGCAGCAAACTTCCCCAGGGTCTAGGAGGTTCTCAGTGCTGGGACCCACTATATTCCTGGCTCTTCTTTCTTGGCAGTACTAAGCTCCCTCCTTCTTTTTTCACTTCTGTCTCCTTTCCTCTCTTAAAAAATAAAATGTGATGCAAGCCACACCTCAGGGAAACTCCTCTTACATCACACATCAGGGCTGTGACCTGAATAAGGATATTGCATCCCACCCTGGTAGCATAGTGCCTACGGCACTTGACTGCTAACCAGGAGGCTGGCGGTTCAAACCCACCAGCCACTCCTCGGAAGGAAGGTTGGGCAATCCTACTTCCGTAGTGATAACTG